CATCGCGTGCTGTGTTCTTTTTCCTGCTCTAAAATAGCGCTCACGAACAGCCTCAAGAAATTCATCTGGCGTGTCCCCAAAGTCACGTACGTGCCTGCTAATCTAGTGCCCCTGACCACTATTAGTCTCCTCCGGATCCTGAAGGTGCCGGAAGCGGCACCAAGCGTTCGCGCCACGCATCTGTCTCTCTAGCTCATTGCACGTCTCTTCCCATTGTGTGCGGCATACCTGAAAAGCGTGTTCTTCTGTCTCCCTGTCCAGTTTGGCTATGCGCCTACGTAACCTCCTATTATGCCTTTGATGTTTTCATCTTTTTAGCAAACACTGCTTGGCCTCTCACATGTGCAGGAGCCGGCTACCTATCACGTGAAGGTTTGCCTCAGAAGGAACCTCGTGCGTTGCTGCCTCCACGTCTGCCTTGAGCGTCTCGGTCCATTATTCAATGTCCGTTATTAGTTGGTCACCTCGCTCACGTTCTTTGCGCGTCTTACGGAATGCATCCCATTCCACGAGAGGGACTCTTCGTCCTCTGGCCTTCCCTTCGCTCTAGAAGTGACACCCACTAGCACGCAATCCCGTGTTTATTTTAATCTCTATCAAGGAATGATCTCTTCCGAGATCCTCCGGCACGTTGTGCCAGTGCACGTTCGTTATGTTCGCCACGAACGCAAGGTCTGGTAGCGTGTCAGCGCAGGTGCTGTTGCCTCTGCGCGTGGGATTGGCAGGGCTCGGGAGGATCTGTAGTCGCTGGTCTGCCGAGTCTTCCCACAGGAGCCTGCCCTTGGGTGTTTCTTGTGGATATCCCCAAGCCGCGTGAGGCGCGCCGAAGTCTCCCGCAACGAGTAGTGGCCGATCGCCGGTGACTGCGCGTACCTTGTGGAACAGCTCCCCGAATCTGTGCTGCAGCGAGGGCTTGCTGTATACGTTCAATACAAATAGTCCTTGACCCCTCCTCGGAATTATCTCTACAAACACGTGCGTTATCTTCACCCATTGAAGCTCACGCTCCGCCACTATGAGGTTCTGACGAACGAGCACCGCAGTGGCCGGCGGTGTCACCTCAACACCAGTCGACGTACGCAACTCGGCGTCATCTTTTCCTTTGCTCTTCGCTAGACGCGGCCGCATTTATGGCTATGTAGCGCGCTCGTTTGTCCTGGTCATTTGTCTCCTGCAACAGGATCATGTCCAGCTTCCTCTCACAGTTGTAAACAAACTGCTGGAAATTGCCCCTCTTCCTTCTGTAACCGCGGCAGTTCAACTGCCATATCGTGTACTGTTGTGGATGTTGTCTAGTGTGTGTGTGTGTAGTTTGTCGCGCTTAGCCATCGTGATGTGTGTATGTTAATGCAGCCCATCGCCCGATGGACTCGGTTGTTGGTGCTGCGTTTCTGTGTCTGACAGCGGTGATTGTTGGTGCTGTTGTTGCAGTTTAGCGTATGGTTTACCGGTTGCCTGAATCGGCTTGCCCGCAAGAGGTGGAGGCGTAGCTTCGATTTAGTCTATTTGCGCCGTAAGGGTCGCAATCGCCTGACTCATTTGTTCCGCGAGAATAGCCACGGAGTTGTTGACTATTGTAAACATTTTGTTAATTTCTTCCGTCTGGCTCACGAAACGCTCGTCTAGGCTTGTCTCAATAATCCCTATGCGCTCTTTCAGCCTTTTGTAGGAGGTGCTACACGATTCGGTCGTGGGTTTTTCGGGTGGAAGCACATAAGCAAATTTGTAAACAAAGATACAAACGTTATCAGACGGAAAAATTTTTATTGCAAGATATTGCATTATGCAGCTTCAGCAAGCCATCCACTTATGTCCATTGCAGTCTAGTTGTTAAAACAAAATCAACAACTAGCACATAGCTTCCAATCTGCTTACAGAGAGGCCAGAAGGCATTACTGTTGATTTTCCTAATGTAAAATCCAACTTCAGCTTCCCCATCGATTACTTGAGCACTTTCAGGAGCTTTTTGACTAATTTCTGAATCACCGTGAACTTCGCTGACTGGTAAAAAGAAAAAAAATATCCCATAGACTTGGTTCATCTTCGAGCCCAAAATTGTCCTCAGCTAGCTCATTTGAACTTGCCTAGATAGAAAAAAGAGAAACAAAACAGCAGTAAGACAGTATTAAGAATTTATCGATTCAAATGTTAGATCATGAAGTGCAAGCACATAAGTGAATTTGTAGACAAAGCAACAAACGACATGAGAACGAGTTGACAAAGTTAGCCATCACCTATAAAAGCTGAAACCCACGACAATGACAGCTGTCGAATGTTGTCGGTATGAAGGCAGCAGTACACACTGAAGCTGGCCGGACACATGCTTTAACAAGTTAACCATTTGTTAGTTTTTTTTCGCTCCTTCCATGTGACACTTAGTATAGCATGCTTATAAAAAGTACATACTATTCAAACTTCGTGCTACTGACTGCATAGCAATTCTGCACAACAAGCCATATATTCTTGATCTCTGCAACTAAGCAATCTAGCAAGAGGGACGAGCTAGAGATCAGGTCATGCAATATTTTATTTCGTTGCATGCCAATTTTGCATTCAGCCCCGCCGTGGTGGTCTAGTGGCTAAGGTACTCGGCTGCTGACCCGCAGGTCACAGGATTGAACCCCGGCTGCGGCGGCTGCATTTCTGATGGAGGCGGAAATGTTGTAGGCCTGTGTGCTCAGATTTGGGTGTACGTTAAAGAACCCGAGGTGGTCGAAATTTCCGGAGCCTTCCACTACGGCATCTCTCATAATCATATGGTGGTTTTGGGACGTCAAACCCCACATATCAATCAATCACTTTTGCATGCTAAATAGCTCTCGTGATATTTGGGCTTCGATTGCGTATCCTCTTTCAGCGTGGATTTCGCGGTGGCCTTTCAACAGTCACACAACTGATTGAAACTATACATGACTTGTGTATCGCTGTAGATGCCTGTATGCAAACCGATGTTATATGTATCGATTTTTCAAAGGCGTTCGACAGAGTTTTACACCGTAAGCTGCTATTCACGCTTCGCAATGTCGGTATTAGTGAGAATGTTCTCATTTGGATCAAAGCTTATCTAGGCAATCGGCAAGAAGCAGTTAGAGTTAGAGATGCTATGTCGGGAAATCGGGAGGTGTATTCGGGAGTGCCTCAAGGATCTGTATTGGGGCCCCTATTCTCCCTTTTATACATAGATGATATTTCATCAGTTGTCCAACCACCAGTAAAAATTAAGCTATTTGCAGATGACTGGCTAATCTATTGTCCGGTATCATGCAGAGAAGATCAAGTGAATACCAATCAGTGCTTACAAACCCTAAACGTATGGTGTTCTGAATGGTGTATGGAAATTAACACTGAAATTCCACTTACACACACGTTACAAAAAAGAAGGAAGTGTTTTCGTTTGCATAAAACATTGGTGATAATATGCTGGTGAAAGTCTGTAGTTTCAAATACTTGGGTGCAACTATAACAGATAAGTTGAGCTGGCGTCCTCATGTCGATAACATCTGTCAATGAGCATGTCAAAAATTGTGCTTCCTACAAAGGAAGTTAGGCCGAGTCACAAAAGATGTCAAGCTGCTGGCCTACAAAACGTATGTGCGTCCGTGATTAGAATACGCTAGCGCTGTGTGGAGCCCACACCAAAAGGTCCTGAAAAATAAATTAGAACGCATTCAGAGAATGTCAGCTCGCTTTATCTGCTCCAAATATCGAAGAAGAGATTCTGTGACTGGAATGTTAAAAGTATGTAAATTAGAATTGCTAGAATTAAGAAGGCGGAAACAGAGGTGGAAACTTCTTTTTCAGATCTTGCATGGCGGGGTGAAAACTAACAGGGATCATTATTTGAAGCATTCTTACAAAAGGTTTCCAAGAACAAGATGCACTACATTCATACAACCAATACATGCTCGAACAGATTTCTTCCGATTTTCCATGTTTCCTGACGCTGTTAATATGTGGAATGAATGACCGAATGATATGGTGCAAAAAACAACTTTGAGTGATTTTGAGGTTGCTCTTGAAAAACATTTTGTTAAAAATGTATAGTTATTAGTGTTCATGTATGTGTTTCCTTACAGATGTTTCATCGGTCGTAGATATCATGTTGCAAGTGTATTGAGTAAAAAAGCATGTAACTGTGTTTCTCATATAATTATGCTATATGGTACAGAGTTCATCTTAGTATTTTTTCAAATGTTTAATTTTGTGCAACTCAATCCTTCAACCTTCCTGTAATGACCCTTAAGTGAGGGTTAACACTGGCACACATAAATAAATAAAAATAAAAACTCACCCAAAAACTTTCGACCCAAGTGCTTCTTGAATTTGTTCGTTGAGATGGCTAGCTCTTTCCAGGTCTCCTGCGACTTCTCCGATTTCACAGTAAACTCTGACTCATGCAGCTGCAGCTGCTTTTTCAGCTTTTCGTTCTCTAGCCTCAATTTCTCATTTTCTTGCCGCTTCCTACAGGCATCACCACAACCCTGGCAATTCCTGTTATTTTTTTCTATTTGACTCATGAGCTCTTCTTCTCGTTTGGATTGAGCCTCGAGACGTAGACTCTTTGCTGATGGGGCAGCCTGCAGTTGCAATCACAACGACAAAAAAAAGTTTCCACTCTATCGGTGCATAAACACCATAAATCTTACATCTTAGTGTTGTATTACACAGAGAAGAAGATATTTGGAACTCAAAACATGCTTCCCAAGAACCGGCTTGCTTCTGTGACCATTTTAAAATTTATGTGGCTACAGGATGCACTACTTATGTTCCTTAAAGGGCCCTCCAGCGTTTCAAAAAATCGAAGCAGACTACGTCCACACGCAGTACCGCTCACAAGAAATATTGCGAGCGGAAATTATGACGGTAGGTGCCGCCCTAAGATTGGATAAATGTAACAGATATACGCGTGGCATTGTATCAAAATAGAGATTACTATTGGGTGTCTTTAGCACCATTTTTCACTGAACACGAAATTGACTAAAGCTACCTGACTTTTTCAGTTGGAAAACCACAATGCCAGTCACAGAAGGTGCTGAACGCCATGGCGTTGGAGGAAATGTGCTGGGGACACTCCAGGCACCATTGTTAGAAGAAAGTGAAGGGAAGGAAAGAAACTTAAAAGCATTGATATATAACTGCCCTAACAACAGAAAAGATCAATAAAACTACAAAACAGATGTGTTCACATGCTGCCTCAATGCGCACGTGCTATGCACTCTTCAAGCACAACATTATCTGTGACCATCACAATCAATGCGTTGTAAATAAGGGGCAATATGACATATCAGCTTCCGTTCCATAAGAGCCTTCACTTAATTTCATTGCGCCGCCCTCTAATGTCACAGGACGAGGGAAACGTAGTCAGGTGACCACGCAAGAATCTGGCCGAGGGTAGCTGTCTATTTTATTGTATTTTAGATTTTCCTGGTGGAATATTTTTGAAGTGCGTGTCCCTGTCACTACTGTTCTTGCTGCACAAATCTGTTACGCCTTCAATCTATGCAATCCACTGGTAAAACATGTAAAACAATAAGGTCTTGAAAATTGTTGAAGAGCCCCTTTAAATTGACAGCAAAGGCATGTTTCAACTGCATATTCATATTGGCACTGTGCCTCCTGGGCAGCCCTCCTTCTTTATACATGGCTTGCACGAGATACCTTCACTGCTTCAGTCCTACTGCAGCGGCAACATTGGAGAACAGTTGCTCAAAGATACTGTAGGTACGAGCCATAGGACTATGAAATTGAAGCGATAGCAGGCATTGTTTTTGAAAAAGTTACGTATGCTCACAAGTAAATACCAATGAAGGTACACCTACAATACAAGCTTGTATATCTTAACATGATCGCGATGTAAACGAGGCAGCGGCAACGAGATGACTGACAAAACTTGGGCGCGGCTATTGTTATGCATGGCTGCTGGGATGCACGTACTTGGTGCGTAAACAAAGACAATCGGTCAAGGTCCGAGGGGCACTTGCAGTAGATCGAGTTTGCTGACCCCGTTTGGCGGCGCGCAGACTACACCGCACTATGTAAACGTGGAATTAGAACTTTGCGCTCCCTCTGCGGTGCTGTTATACAGTGTTCAGTGCGACGGAGCTGACGAAGTCGCATCGCCATGGTCACAGTTTTTTTTAATGAGCCACTTCTTGCGCACCTCATGCCACTGGTTTGGACAAGGCAGCAGTTAAATGCAGCGTACTGTTCAGAACTGATAGAAGCAGCGTGTTCTCACTGTAAGGAGGAGGTGTAATTGTGCAACGAAGCGGATCCCTCTTGCGTATGGGAGTGCGCAAATGGCTAGGAAGAAGGAACACAGACAGAAAGGAGCGCCTTTTCTGTCTGTGTTCTCTGTAATGAGAACAAAGAGATTGTTAGCTCTTATAGTGGAGGAAAAAACTCGCTCGTGCCACCGTTCTGTGCGTCCGCAAAGTTCGCGGAACGTAGTGTGCAGGACGGTCCTTTCGTCTCTCTCTCTCCGAACGAGCGGTCGAGTGCTGGAAGAAGAGAGGAGAGGACGGCAACAGGTGTTCAGTCTGTCCAATAAACGGACTGAATTGCTTTGGTTGGCCGTGAGGAAAATCGGGAGGGGCAACCGAGAGGTTAAAATCTGGCTCCCGAGTCCTCACGGTCGTTCTGGTCGCAGCAAAGTGTGCTCTGCACTATCGGCTCTGCTCAGGCAACATGCGATGGTTCCAACGGTGAACGCGTCTTGTAAATATTTACATAAGTTCCTGTACATAAAGTCCAGTTGTTGAACGTATTGAAAGGCGCTGGTCTCCATCTTTTACAAGCAGCAGCCACGACAAGACAAGACGGACACCAAGTAACCAACCATCCACTCCCTTCTACAGCAACAGCCGCTACGCAGCTGTGAGAGCTCTGCTCAAGGAAACAGAGGGAGTGGGTAGAAGGTTGACTTTTACTACGCATTCATGACCTACTTGCTTAGGATGGATGGATGGATGGATGGATGGATGGATGGATGGATGGATGGATGGATGGATGGATGGATGGATGGATGGATGGAGGGAGGGAGGGAGGGAGGGAGGGAGGGAGGAGGGACGGACGGACGGACGCACGGACGGACGGACGGGTGGGTGGATGGATGGATGGATGGATGGATGGATGGATGGATGGATGGATGGATGGATGGATGGGTGGGTGGGTGGGTGGGTGGGTGGGTGGGTGGATGGATGGATGGATGGATGGATGGATGGATGGATGGATGGATGGATGGAGGGAGGGAGGGAGGGAGGGAGGGAGGAGGGACGGACGGACGGACGGACGGACGGACGGACAGACGGGTGGGTGGGTGGATGGATGGATGGATGGATGGATGGATGGATGGATGGATGGATGGATGGATGGATGGATGGATGGATGGATGGATATGGCTGTACTCTTTAAATCGGGCGGTGGCTAGCGTGACCAAGCCGTAATACTAATTGAACCAAAAACTAGATTTATTTTTTTAACCTTTAAGTAGTGAGGCTGAGGATTCGTACTTAGCAGTGAAGGCTTTAATTTTCACTCGTGCCTTGACTTTAACCACCAATCAGATAACCTCCTTCTAGTTAATTCTACCCGCTTAAAGCCTACTTTGTCCTCCCTGTCCCTAAACCCTAGTGCTTTGAAAAACTCTGCGCCATCATCCTGAACTATAGTATGAATCCCTTTACAAAACATTACCAAGTGTTCAGTACTTTCCTCTTCCGCTCCACACGCACTGCATACCGTGTCTACCCCTTCGTATTTATCTCGATATGTCTTGGTTCGCAATACTCACGTCCTGGCCTCAAACAGTAGAGAACTACCCCGAGTATTATCATAGATCTTTTTCTTGGTAATTTCCTGCTTGAAAGTTTGATAGATCTCCAGTGCGGACTTCTTAATCATGCCAATTCTCCACATATCGGTCTGAACTTCCTTCACCTTCTTCCTAAGCGATAATTCTTTTTGGTTTGGCTCCCTGCTGTTTTCTAAGTATTTACCAGTTAATTTTTTGGTTCGCTTCCTCCATTTATCATCAACATTCACCCCCATTTCTCTCAACTGCTTCTCAAATTTTATCTTGCTGCTAGCTTCCCTGCCTACAAATGATGTCCATCCCTTATCACCTTGTACTCCCTAATTTGGTGTATTCCCAAGAGCTCCTAAGGCAAGCCTACCTATTCCACGTTGCTTAATTTCTAATCTTGCTTGAACTTCTGATCTCATGCACAAGACCACATTGCCGAACGTCAGACCAGGAACCATGACCCCTTTCCATATTCTTCTTTCAACATAATACCTGTTGTAATTCCACAGTGCCCTGTTTTTCATCACTGCTGCATTTCTGTTACCTTTATTCGTCACGTGTATTTCATGTTCCCTTAGGTACTCAGCCCCATCGCTTATCCATACGCCCAGATATTTGTATTTATCTGTTATCTCTAGCGTGGCCTCCTGTATTCTAAGCTCACTACCTTCATTGTCATTAAAACTCATGACTGCTGCTTTTTCCTTACTGAATCTGAAATCTAACCTATCTCCCTCATTACCGCAGATGTCCAATAATCTCTGCAAATCTTCCTTGTTGTCGGCCATTAGCACTATATAATCGGCGTACATCAATGCTGGTAGTGCCTGTTTAATGAGTTTTCCTTGTTTTATGAAAGAAAGGTTGAAGCCCAGTCCACTTCCTTCTAAATTGGCCTCTAATCCTTGTAGGTTCATCATGAATAACAAGGGTGACAGGGGACACCCCTTAGTAAGCCCCCATTTAACCTCTGCAGGCTTGGATACCTGTTTTTGTTTCACTTTATAACTACCTTGTTACCTTTAGAGATATCCTCTAAAAGATTAGTGACTCCATCTTCCACGCCTACTGTGTCCAGTATTCCCCACAATTTTTGTTGAACCACGCTATCGTACGCTCCCTTGATATCCAAAAATGCTAGCCACAGGGGCCTGCGTTTCCTTTCTGCTATTTCGATGCACTGCGTCAGTGAGAACAGATTGTCTTCCAACCTCCTGTGTTTCCGAAACCCATGCTGCAGTTCCCCCAGCACCCCCTCATCTTCTATCTATGCCTGCAGTCGTTCCTTTGTAATCTTCATCGCCAGCCTGTAGATCACTGATGTCACTGTTATAGGACGGTAGTTGTTTATGTCAGCTTTTTCCCCCTTTCCTTGACAGATCATGCTCATCCTGCTAAGTTTCCATCCATCGGGAACTTCTCCATCGATTATTACTTTGTTCACTGCCTGTCTCAAAGCCTGCTTAGACTTCGGACCTTACGTCTTTGTCAGCATAATTGGAATGCCATCTGGGCCTGTTGATGTACTACTAGGAATCCTTTTCTCAGCCCTTTCCCACTCTCGTTGTGGAAATGGAGCCATTGCGCCACTTGATTCATCCTTGTCTATTGTGGTGCATAAAGCACTTATTTGTTGAAATTTTTCTGTGACCCTTGTTCTTATATATTCAATAGCTTCGTCCCCTTCTAGCCTAGCACCTTGAGCTGTAGATGTAAACTTCTGCTCTAGGCTCGTCTCAATTCTTAGGGAGTTTAGATGGTTCCAAAATTTTACAGCTGCCTTTCTATCTTTTTTATGTACTTCTGCCAGCCGCTTAACTCCCTTTCTTCTAATCTTTTCATTGATCAGAAGGGATGCATCCCTTCTACAGCTTAGAAAGATTTCTAATTTTCTTACAACTCTCTCGGTTCACCCCGCTGCTTAGCATGTCTGTGTTCCCTAGAGGCTTACTTAATCGACGTAGCGCGTTTTGAAACATAGGACAAGGAAAGGGACAGAAGGGAGCATTACTTCCAACAAAATTTTATTTCAAGGAGCGTGCATATATACGCTCATCAAATTCGAAAACAACAGACAAACAGATGAAAAACTTTCTATTGCCATGCGCTAAAAACTTATGATCTCAAAAACGACGATTCTTTTTCACAAAGACCGAAAGAAGGATTGCTGACGCAGTTCAGCCCTAATCTACTAATCCTTTCTGCTTCAATAATCTCCCTTGTCACTTTATTTCTGTTTTTTCCTATGATTATCGTACCATGAAAAAGTGGTTTGCAGCCACACATGCTGCAATGTAGTGCCAAAAAACCATCTCTACCATTTTTTACGTTGCAAGCGTGTTCGCGGAGCCTGTCATTAATACACCTGCCAGTTTGTCCTATGT